CCTGCCCAAAGTTCAAACATTTGCCGTGAAAGTACCGGACCGAACCTAAACTAACATAAGGTGGCTTATAATTAATTCGGGCTATGTTTGTTATGTAATTACTTATTTACATAAATAAACACACAGGTGAGTTAGGTTTGGAAGATATTTCAAGGTCATTCTGGTGAAATTAACTTAAAGTTACTCTTTCATCTAAAAATGTAAGATTAAGATTGTATTAAGATTAGTTATAAGTTAGGTACATGATAAGATTAGTAGATCAGTAGTTCTCTCTGCCTCAATTCTTTGTGATTTTGCTGTGCCCAAAACAGTCCACAATTGTATGTCATGAATCCTTTACTTTTCAACTATATTAAACAATGTGGAATGCAAATAAATGAATTGAATTGAATTCAATGTCAATGTCAAAAAATCTAATTAGAAAAAAATGGTTTGAGTCTGTTTTTTTGTTACGAACTTAAATAGACTTAGGTACTTTCCATTATCTAGATTTGTCTTCATGAATTTTACTTACTTTACTAATATTTATTTCAATAACTTTACCAATTTTACTAACTAGTTACTATCTAGTTTTTTTGAGAAATTTCCCTATAAGGCATAAATGGAATAACATTTTGTTATGTTAAATAAAAAAAAAAAACTTTTCAATGTTAACACTTAAATCAATTCTGTAGTTTCGAAGCCAGATTAGGCAAAAAGTCTTATTATAATAGGTTCTATTTAAACCCTATAACATGGATTATTATGATAAACCACAAGTTATGTAAGTACATAGGACCTAGTCCACTTTGTTGGGGCACAACAAGTACCTAACAAACATCTACTTATGTGTTTATGTTTAGTCTAGGCTTAGACTTCAGAGTACAACAAAGCTATAGATATAGAACTCCACTAATAATTATGTAAGCAGTGGAATACCAGTGTGTAGGTACAAAATACGTTTATGAATTTATGTAGAGTGCCTGATAATATTTTACGAGCAATCGCACGTATGACAACACGTTGCCTCATTTAATGATATGTAATAAATGTACGCGAATAAAATATTTAAATGGATTTTTTATTCGTTCCGGGTTTCAAATTCCAAAATATATTTCGCATAATATAATACATATAACTAGCTTTAAGTTTTAAGAAAATGTATCATGTTAAATATCATTTCCCGCCTAAACATATCTGTCAAATCACGTTATCTTACACCAACGAGGCAAAAATATTAACACAGACAGCCTTCTTTTTTTAAATTAGCAAAAAGGCGGAACACTTTCGCTAAAACGTCAAAAGAAGCATCATAAACGATCTCATTGAGGGAAAGCAAAGGACACAACAAAATAGATCTCAGTTACAAAGATCGACACAAGTCGTCAGAGGGAGACACTTTAGCAGGAAGAAGGTCTTCAGTGGAGTGGATATCAGGAGGCTGTAAGTGTACTTCCGGTGAGGGCCCGCGTCAAAGCACCCGCCGGATGTGTCAATTTGAAGCCGGCGCCATCTTGAAATCTCGTTGACTTCGGGATGTGTGGGATTTGAAATCTACTTTTATGGGACTTGACCTAAATGCTAAAGTTCCGAGGAAAAACGTTTTACTGCGATGTGGTTAATAAAAATGATGACTAGGTAAAAATATACCTACCTTATATTTATACATATATATATACATATACCTTACCTTATATGTATACATATAAGGTAGGTATATAGCCATAATATTTTAATTTGTTGGTTATCTAACTTCTCCTAAAATGAGATTCATCATCATCATCATCACCCTATTAGTGCCCACTGCTGAGCAAAGGCCTCTTCTCATATGGAGAAGGTTAGCATTATTCACCACGCTTGCTCAATGCGGGTTGGCGATTTCAAACTTATAATTTGAAATTATAAGTCCAGGTTTCCTCACGATGTTTACCTTTACCGTATGTCAGTGGTGTCTAAATAATCATAGAAAGTACATCTGGCTCGGAAAAAGTCACATTGGTACTTGCCAGGTTTCGAACCCATAACCTCATGTATGAGAAGCGGGCTGCTTACCCTACGTGCCACCATGACTTATTATATTAAATAAAATGTGATTGCATTAACGAAGCAATTATTGAATAAACTAACTTAACTAAACTTGTTAAAAACTACCGTATTGTTCAATCTGCAACATGTCATTTTATGGTACTTAGATACTACTCAAATCGTATTGTCAAATTAAATCCGCCGTCCTACTAGACCTACACCCAAAACAATCACATTATGACAAGTTATTGAAAAAAAAAATAACAATCGCCTAAAAAAACAAGGAAAAAGTAACATTACCTAGTCAGTCTAGCACATTTATGCCATATTTCACTGGAATGAAATATTGTCTGTAAGTCGTGACCTGCGAGGAATTCATATTAGCTCCCATTGGTTGGCCAATTTGAAAATATCTTTACTACGTGCCAATTCCAAGATATGGTTCGAAAGTATGAGTTTTAGACTGTTCTTATCTTTCATGTTATACTTTTATTTCATTTTTGTAATCTTAATTTATAATAATAGGTAGCGATAGGTAGGTAACGATAGGGTTGGCTCCCCCAACCCTATCGTGGCTTATTCTAAAGTGCACACGTAATGTTAGGACTATCTTTTAGAACGTAATTTAACTTATTAATCAAAAAGAAAATAAAGAAAAATATTAACAGAATAATTAAATGTAACACACACAATCAATACGAAGTATAAAAACATGTCACTTTCTCTGTCTCGAATGAAGAACGAGAAGAAAGAACTATTTATAAGCCCTTTAAAAGAGTGTAAGGTAGGTATGTTGTAGGTACAAGCTCACCAATACAATATATAGGTATAATGAATGCACACAATGCATAGCAAGTTGTTAAAAATAGAAAGAATTAACGAAGAGATTTAATTTCTCATCATAAAAATTTAAATCCTTCATCGTCTTGAGCATGGCGTTCACATATGCACACTGCGGCCCTGGACCAGATCACCAAGGCGTAAGAAGACATTTGATGATTTGCTCAGAAAAAAAAAACAACATGAGTGCTACATTGAAATAAAAGTAATCTATACTTCTATACTAATATTATAAAGAGGTAAAATTTGTAAGTTTATATGTTTGTAAGTTTGCATGTAGGAAGTAATCTTTGGAACCACTGGTCGGATTCCCAAAACCTTTCACTTAGTGATAGCTACAATGTTCCCGAATGCTATCCTAACTAATATTATAAATGCGAAAGTAACTCTGTCTGTCTGTCTGTCTTTCGGTCTGTCTGTCTGTCTGACTGTCTTTTCTTCACGCCTAAAATTCTGAACCGATTTCTGTGAAATTTGGTACATACATAGTTTGGAACTCGAGAAAGGACATAGGATAGTTTTTATTCCAAAAATCTGCAGGAAGTAACTTTTCCACGTGAACAAAGTCGCGGGCAAAAGCTAGTATGCTATAAAACATCACGCTACAATCAAATGGAGCCGAGCAGCGTCAATAGTTTTGAAATCTGATCCAACAGACAAACTGTGTATACAGTTTTGTTGGACATTTTATACTTTTTATAATGTAAAATGTACCTTTTAAGCAATAATAAATAAATAAATAATAAATAGCGAGTGAAACCGCGCGGGAGTAGTTAGTAAAAGATATACTTACAACATTTGCTGATTGAAAATTTCCAAAACAAAGATGAACGTAATTTGCAGCTACAAGAATTATTATTTATTTGTCATTGACTGGGTGCAGGTCTGTGTGGTGGAGGACGATGCTTTTGGGACCGGCTCGACCATAATGAACACATACGTGTTTGTGTGTCGACGTGTGTGTGGGGTTACCGTAAGCACAATCTTTCCTCTTCATCCTCAATCCTTAAGTCCTTAATAACAACTAAATTAGGGCTTCGGGTATTTAAGGATTAGGTAGGGGTGGCTGGACGAAGGCTGTGGTTTTTATTATAACTTACGTGAGACATTCTAAATTACTTAACATGACGACACGCGACGCGGCGTCTGTCGTATGTCGCGGAATGCTGCTCATGAATATGGGCCTCTAGCATGGCTTGAAACTAGTCGAGTATCTCGTCAAATTATTACGTGAGTAAGCCGAAAACATAATAAGGCTGTAGTTGTTTTACGCCGGTTTTTTGTGAGGCCATGGTAGCACTCCGGTTGAACCGACCATTCGTGTCGAAGCTTGGTTCTCCCTAACTTACTTGTGGTCCACACTTGAAGAATTTTACATTTTTTTAATCGAAGACTTGGCTAATACTTTTATGTATTTAGGAGACACGAAGATAAGATAGAACTCCTTTTTTCAAGTAATATCGGTCGTACAGTTGCTTAATTAGGCTTTTTTGACCTGCATTATATAGCAAAAGATAAGCCGTCACGTCTATACCTAGGTTCGTTGTGTTATCAATAACCTGATTGTAGTATTTAAAACAGTAAATTGTAAAAAAATATTTAGGAATAAAGAGATAACAGGAAATTATCAAGAAAGTTCAGGAAAAAGTTACATAACTGGTTATAAGCTAGATAATAGTCCTCACAACATTAGTTTTTTTACCATGATCAGTTGCGCCTCGCCTTTCCAATAGCACATCACTAACTTTGGTCTTCTGATCTTCAACCGGGTCGTGTTCCGAAGGCTTAGACTCGCCTTTCTCGTTTACAAGGTTTTCCGATACATTAACTTTCCTAGTTTGTTTAGACAGTACTGATAAACGGCTAATGAAAACATCGCGAGGTATCTGGGACGTATAATTGAGCCAGGGTCCCGGTTAAGGTACCGCGGCCTCGGCTTGGAGCCCAGCGCAGAAGAAACGGCGGCGTTTATTAGTCAGTAAGAGTTTGATACTGCCTCTCGCCTCACCATGAGCAGACATTTGATGATTTTCCCCCTCAAAAAAGAGGAGTCGCAGTGGCTTTAGGAGACTAAGGCAGGATGGTCCTAACAAAAAAAATTCTTGATGAAGCTACTGCTTTGGTACTTAAAAACAAACAACGGAATAAAAATAAAGCAAAGATTTTATTTTGCTATAATTTTTTTTAAGGGACCAATCCAGTGTTCTTCTTATGGATGGTAGTTCCAGTAGATGGGAGGTTTGTAGCATCAGGGTTATTGTTTTTTTTTTAAGATTTAAGCATAGATGTAGACGTCGAAATGGATCTTCTCTCCACGGTCGCTCTTCATACGAAGGTTGACGAAGTTGAAGCCAAGCCCGCCCTGCGTCACGTTGGCTGTCGCACCAGTGTGAGTCATGTCGTAGGCAAGGATACCCTGGAAATGCACAGAATATTTATTAAGTATATACCTACCATTATTTTCATTTTTTTAGGGTTCAGTTGAAAGTCAGTGTCAGGCAATGACGTAGTTGTCTGGCATTTAATGCCGAACTACTTATACCTATTTGGTGCAGCCGCAAGACTTGCAGTGTTTTTGTTTTTTTTTATTATTGTTTTAGTATTTTGTCTAATATGTAGTTTTCTGCACTGTATGTGTCTTTATCTATAGGTATACTAATATTATAAAAAGGTAAAATTTGTAAGTTTGTATTTAGGGGGAAATCTTTGGAACCGCTGGACGGATTTCCAAAATTCTTTCACTTCCTAATAGCTACAATGTTTCTGAGTGCTATAGGCTAATGGAGGCTATGAATGAATGCTAGATGGCTAGGCAAATGGAGCCGAGCAGCGGGTGAAACCGCGCGAGAGTATCTAGTTAAAACTAAAAATAAATAAAAAATATTGTTAACTAGTCGCGCAGCCTACTGCTGCGCGACGTCGCCGCGTCCGCGCACGCTGCTCATGAGGAAGAACCCCTCTGTGGTTCGAAACTAGTAGAGCTTTTCTCAACATTTACACGTGAGTAACCCGCGAATTTTAGTTAATTTAGCATGTCTCACGATAGTTATTATAAAAACAAAAAATATTGTACCTATGTGTACACAGCTTGTTTCTCATTTCGATTTATTTCCGATGATATAATTTTATGTAACTTTCGTCGATAGTAAGTTGTAATCTGGTGTCAAAACCGATAACCCGGGAAAAGGCCTTGACTAATGTTAGTGTACCTATATTTGTATCATAATTGTATAAACATTATATCACGCTTGTAACAACTGGATGTGGTAGACAGAACTTTGTTTCTAAACCAAATAGGTACTCGTTAATAGTTAATTTCAATAAATAATTAAAAAAAAGTCGTGATGGCCCGGATGTTAATGAGCAATGAGATCTTTCTCCTGTGTCGTCATCGCACACCGACCCGTTAACAAACAACAATTTGGGGGCCCACACAAAGTGTTGTTCCGTGCGACCAGGAGAAAATCATAGTGTGGAGCAGCTCAAAAAAAATTAATAGATAAATGCAGTGGACACTTATAGGCTGACGATGTTAATTCCCATAAATACGATTTTGTTCAGAAAACAAACGCTAAAGGCTGGTATAAGTAACCATTAAATGACACTGAGTACCGCGGCTAGAATCTAGTATAGAGGTACATTAATCCTACTATCCTACTGTAATACTACTATCATATCCTACTAATCTTATACTTAAATGTGAAAGTTTGTGAGAATGTATTGATGTATGTTTGTTATTATTTTACGCTAAAACGGCTGGAGCGATTTTGTTAAAATTTGGTATGAAGAGAGATAATATCCAGAATTAACACATAGTCTATTTTTATAGACGCGTGAAGAAGCCTCAAGCGGAAACTAGTATTAAATAATGAAGTCACAATAATACTGAATGTTCACGAAAATGCACATACTGATGGAACAAATTTCAAACAGGTATATGCAATGCCAATATATATGTGTATTTTTGTATTTATTTTCCTCTTTACTATATATGTGTGGTGTGTATAAATAATAAATAAATAAATGATTGAACCAATGACCTTGATCATGTTGCAATAATTATACTGAAAACTGTACCAGTTGTAACACTCATAAAGTGAGTAAATATGTGTAATATAAAACATTTGCTTATTTGGAATGTGTACCTAACAGCGCATAATTTCGAAACGACTGCATCGAATTGGATGAATTATAATAAAAATAAATTATGTTTCTATTGAATGGGCAAAGCAAATAGTATTCTGTAGATTATGAATTTTATAGCTAAACAATAAAAATAAAATTATGTTTCACGTTTATGATAGTAGTTAAATTAGAGAAAATATAACAAAATTACTCCTAACAACAAAAAAAAAAGAAGAAGGTTACCTGAATTGAACGTCCAGCGTTAGCGGGAACTGGTGGGAGAGAATAGTAAAGATTCTCAACCCTCTTTCTGAAGACTTTGGAGCCGTACTCAGCGTTGTGATGGTAGACCAAAGGCCTCAGGACATTCGTCCCCATAAACGTATGGGAACAATCCACAATGACTACAACAGCCAACAGAAAAGCAAGAGCGACGACCTTCATTTTGAAAACAGAATTGCACTAATTTTGTTCGTAAATACGACTTTTCCCGCCAATGGTCGGTCGACGAATGAGTTTGACAGTTAAAATGTCGGCCATATTGTTATGTAGCTGTGGCCGTTTTTTATCTATGCCCGATAAACTAAATGTCATCGTTTGTTTATTTTTGCTTGTATGTGAGTACATATTTGCGTAATTAGTGTTTCTACTTTCTGACGGAATGGCTGAAGTTTTCCTCCTGTGCTTCCCCAACTTGATGTATATGTATCATTCAAAGAATATAATGTATCGTGCAAAGAAATGCATGAAATAAGTTATCTACCGAAGATTAAAAGAAAAATTGTTTTTAAGAAACATTAAAATTCCAAAACTAATTTTATTAATATAAACTTTTTGAAGTTCGTATTGCAAATATCTGATAAACTTATGTGGCAGATAGTTCAGCCAGATATGACTTACTGACGTTCTACATTCAAATTTTTTAGAAACATATTTCCAGTCTTTGCACAAAATGCACAAAACTTTGCATTTTTGTTTGCCAACCTTTGGCACGAATGGGTCGGCTCGACAGAAATGCTCCTATACATCCCAATCCCTGAATCTCTGGAATCCAAATCCCTAAAAGGCAAACGCGTAACTCTTCTGGCTTTACGTGTGTCCATGGGTGACCTTGATTGCTTACCATCAGGTAATTCGTCTACTCGTCCTATTACATAACAAAGAATAATCAAATCAAAACTCAGTGTCTCTCAAATAGCAGACAAAACCCTAAAATGCCCGTTTACGTAATGGTTAAAAAGTTATTTATAAAATGATATCCGATGTCCCGTCGGTTTAGTTTACCGCGAGGATTTCAGTTCAGTGTCTCTGTGGCTCCGATTGGCTTCAAAATAACAAAATGGTAAAAAACCAACTTCACCTGATAGCGTGTGACAGACCGACAGACGCGATGGTCGGTGTTCTTATTTACACCGTAGCTTTTCATAAAAGTGACACATTTTCTATTCATTACAGATAATAAATCCTTCTAATGTTATAAATGTGGGAGTTTGTAAACATGTATGGATTTTAATTATTATGTTTTCGGCTTACTCACGTAATAATTTGACGAGATACTCGACTAGTTTCAAGCCATGCTAGATGTCCATATTCATGAGCAGCTTCCGCGACACGCGACACGCGACACGCGACAGTAGCCGCGTGAGTAAGCCGAAAACATAATAATTAATTTTGAATGTCTCACGAAAGTTTTAATAAAAATGTATGGATGTACTAGCGGTCGCCCGCGGCTCCGACCGCGACATTGCCGATTTTACACTTTAACAAGTTTTTATTTTAAAATTTCTCTACGTACGAACTTCCTCTGTACTTCCACGAATAATGCCTTTAAAGGTATTGTTGAGTTATTACATTACAACGAAAATTTGCATTGATTTTTATATGTATAGAATATAGATGTTTATTGTTCTTTCACGTGAAAACGGCTGGACCGATTTGGTTGAAATATTGTATGTAGATAGGAAGCTTATACTACATGTGCTTTGTATCAACATACTACGCGGGCGAAGCCACGGGTAGTAGCTAAGTTGAAAGTAAATATAAATTGTGTATTTTTTGTGTACGTATACATATTTTTTTGCAGTCATGCAAACCATTCACTTGTTGGTAAGCCTTTTGTTTGTTAGGGATTTCACTATTGGAAACGTAGGCATTAGAAATAGGTAGGGGGAGAGAGGGGACAGGCTCATTTGGCGTCCAGGCCTAACACAAAACAGACGGTTTTCTATATAGCCGTAGTATCACTAGGGCCGAGTACATAATTTATAGTTTCTGATAATAGGTATTTTGTAATCGAACGACAATCCAATAAAATACAAGTTTGCTTTAAAATACTCGTTTTAATATCGACATCTTTTTTTAATTTTACGTAATTTAGATTTGAGTAGGTTATTAATAATGTTTTTTTTATTAAGCATAAATATAAATATCGTAATGCAATTCCTTGTAGCGATCACTCTTCATCCGCATGTTAACGAAGTTGTAACCAAGGCCGCCCTTCGTCACGTTGGCTGATGCACCAGAGTGTGTCAGGTCGTACGCAAGGATACCCTGGAAAATGGCAAGTATACTCGATCAAATAAAAAAATAATTTTGTAAATCGGTCCAGGCGTCTTCGAGTAATCGATGTACATACATAAAAAAAAATACGCGTCGGATTGAGAAACTCCTCCTTTTTTGAAGTCGGTTAAAATACATTGAACAATAAATATCAAAAGAACATATTTAGGAACCTTTAAGTGTAATAGAGGCTTGCTTTGGCACGAATGGTCCTGATCGACCGGAGTTTTACCACGGCCTCATAAAACACCGACGTGAAGCAACACCTAGATGTGTTCCGCCGTGTGAAGGAGGTGACGTCCTTTCCATCTTCAATACTCCAAATCTTAATTTAAATAACTTACAAGATGATGGAAACGGCGTCTCATCAGGTAAACCTAACGCCATATGCAGAAAATCTTCAATGAACCAAAACACACTTGATAACAATTTTTTCGACCTAGTAATGGAAGTTCTACAAACAGCTGTACTTGCGAGGAGTTGATAAACAAAGTATTCAAGGAAAATAGAGAATTAAGTGCTATCTTTAAGAACATATTGAGAACAGAAATTAATATGAATCGACTCAGGATAAAGAGGTATCTCGTATTGAGAAGTAATATAAATAAAATTGAGAAGAAATTACCTGAATACTTCTACTGTAAACACCAGGAACAGCTGGTAGAGTAAAGTTGAAGTTTTCAATCCTTTTCTGCAGCACCTTGGCGGGATATCGGACCTCCTTGTGGAACACTAAAGGCCTTAAAAAATTCGTGCCTAAAAAACTATGACCACACTCACTGGCTACTACCACCGCCAAAATTATAGCTATTGATGAGTATTTATGCATTTTTTTTATGAAAAAATAAAAAAAAATAATGAAAAAACTTTTTTTATTCGGCTTTTTTCGTTTTCACGTTTGATCGATTCAAAGTGCAATGTTGTTATGTGAACTGTTATATTGTCAACTTGTTTTGCATCATTAGTAACTGTAATTAGGGTTTTGTTTAACTGTACTTTTTAATCGGGTTGTAATTTAAATAATATTGTGTGGTTTCGTTCCGAATGCATTATTTTGTTTCGAAAACGTGGCTACTTCGATTCAAACACGGAACAACATTTCGCGTAATGCACAAAATGTTCTGGGTGAGGTGTGTAAGGGGCTTTGTATATGTTGGTAAAAGCATCAACGATACAGAAGACAATTCTAGGGTAACATAAACGTAAAGTTTAAAAAATCTCTAGGACAAAAGACACTTTATACTTCTTTCAAATTAGTAATCTCTAGTTGGTCAGTACTAATTAAGGTTCGGTATCTCCATATCCCCCTTTACCCATTGCCAAAAAGTGGCAACTCACTTTTGATCCTAGTCCATGGAAGACACCGATAGCTAAACAGGTGCTGGTTTGCCATCTTACCGGCTTTATCTAATTTTTTACATATAATTTTGACGTGTAAAAATGCTGATATATGGCGTATTTACAAAATGACTTAAAAAGTCCCAAAAGTTTTTTAGGGTGGCAACAAAATTTCTATTTAGGATATTACGATCTCTGATCAGACTCTGTTTAGGTATTTTTATACGGAACCTTAAAGACACTTCTTGCCAACCTTACCCATTATTGGTAGTGTTAATGTAACAAATAATAAGAAACGCATTAGTTTTCTTAATTGCCGTGATATCTTTAAATGCGGCCCTGTTTGATAAGAAACACACTTTTTTGTTAAATAAATATTTACCGGTTGACTCAAAACCCATTAGGAAATATTGTATGTTAGTTGTAAACTGGGCTAGTAGGATGTGAGAAAACCTTTGAGGGGTCAATGTTAGATATAAGAATTGTCAGTTCCATGAATACTCCTTTTGTGAACTAAACTGTTGTTGATATAATTCCGTCGATACTTGTGACAGACCACATTTCATTTTATTCTCTCTAAACGCATATTGTACTGGTTAAAACCCATACATAAAAAATATAAACACACAAACACATACACACACAACGCGCGACCGCTCGAACGCACATACACACACACACACACTCAAACACAGACACACCCAACCATATAGTGTATAGAAAGACCTAATGTACCTAATTGTAACTAGTGGACTAATACATTTATTTCTTATTTCACTATTAAATTAATTTGAAACGAATTACATCTTCTCGTCAACCTGCCTGGGTGGGGCAAGAGAAAGTGTCACACTTTCTGACATAAACCCCTTACTTCTCCGAGCCGGTACAACAATGTGCTTGCTTCCGCAACTTCGGCTCCGGCTGGACATCAGCCCTAGCAGGACCCATCTGCGATGATTTGTTGGCGGTAAACGATCAGACGGATTATCTGACGGTAAGCAACACCCGCCTTTATGGGATTAGGGATTTGGATATTTAAGGATTGGGGGAGGGGAAGGATTGGGCCTGCCGTAACATCACTCACACGGCGAAACACAACACATTTTTGAGAGGAATGCGACATTAACATAAACCCTCTATATTCGGGGCTTCTTGTTACGCGTCGGTGTGACAGTCAGCTGGTTGTTTTGTGGGATAAAACCTCATGGAGTCGTTCGCCGGGAGGTATCAAAATATTTTTGCCAAAAATAGATTTGTGGGCTTTGTACAATACAATACTACATTTTGATCGGTGACGTAATAATTTTTGGAACTCTTGACGTTTGGATAAGCGGTAAAATGGTTTCACGTTTATTCATATTTGATTTGGTTCGTGGAAAAATCGTGATATTAAAGCCCTTTCTTCTGTATAAATGTGAATTGTAGCCCACTTATCTACAATTGCTATTTTCGCGTAATTTTGAAGTGAATTTAAGTAGACACTTCTCTTGAACTTAAGGGTTTTGATAAGATATTTAATTCCTAGGTATTTATTATCTGCTACCTTAGTGTCAGATAATGTTTGTTATTGTATGAAATGATGTTTTTTTTTATGTAATAAATCGGCAAACGAGCAGACGGATTACCTATGGTAAGTAATCAGCGCCGCCCATGGTCACCCGCAACGGAGGAGTTACGAGTACGTTGCCGACCTTTTAGGGATTAGAGATTTGGAGATTTAGGGATTGAGGAGGGATTGGGGGTGGGAAAGGATTGGGCCTTCTTTATTTACGTTATTTTTAATGGTCTTTTCGAATCATGCCCATATGTAACCTCATGGCTCATTTTTTAATTTTAATTTTATTAGTTTAAAGTGCAATTTTCTTATACATATATAGGGCTTCTTATTTGACTTGAGGATCGCACAATCATTTAATGGACATCGGAAATTCTGATCGAACTTTGAGAAGTCTAAGAGTTATACCTACTTATTGTCTAGCGATGCCATGATAACTATAAATAATCAAATACCTTCTCTTGCTCAGGTTGAGGCGAAAGGGGGTGTCTCTTACTAACTTAAAACCCCCCGTTCTTTCTCCTCCTTCGGCCGAGGTTGCGGTACCATTTTGCGCTTTCCCCGCAACCCCAGCTTCACATCGACCCTGTCAGGCCCCGTCTGTGGTGGTATATTAGTGTTTGAGGTGCGCGTGGAACGCTACGAGCCTACCTTTTCTCGCCGTCCGCAGACCTGCGGTCACAGTGGCATATCGACCTGTTAAAAGTATAGAAAGGCGACCATGAGAATTGGTCACTAAAAAAAAAAATACGAAACGGGGAGACGCGATTTCTTTGAAACTGTATAAGACCGCATTTAAGAAAGTTTTCAAGATGTTGGAGCAATCTTTACATTTCGAAAAATCATAACGATTACACCAGGTTAAAGATAATCTCATTGTTATTATCCGTTTATCATTCAAATAGGATTGCAAAGACGAAGTGATAAAAGAATCGGTCCACAGGTGATCTTCTAGCGTATGCCATCCACATCTGGAGTGAGGCCATCGAGAAACACGGGGAAGCGCTTGCCGTCTCCCTTGACATCTCGAAGGCTTTCGATAGGGTATGGCACGAAAGCCTTATTAGTAAGCTTCCTTCATTCGGTTTGCCCACTGGATTGTGTGTTTGGATCGCAGACTTTCTGAGGGACCGGTCCATCCGTGTGGTCATCGATGGTTGCTCGTCGAATCAAATGACCATCAATGCTGGGGTCCCTCAGGGGTCAGTGCTCTCGGCAACATTGTTCTTGTTGCACATAAACGACCTGCTTAAGCCCGGTACCTTTGGGTATGCAGACGACAGCACTGTTGTTGAGAGTTACACGTCCGGCGCACGAGCTAGTGGGTCACAGATCCAGACTCTTCGAGAGGCTATGGTTGGGCGCTTGAACTTGTCCTTGGAGGCTGTCTCTAAATGGGGCGACGCCAACATGGTCAGGTTCAATGCGGCTAAAACTCAGGCGTGTCTATTTTCCAGCAAAAGGAGTCAATTTAGCCCTGCTCCAACTTTCCGGGGTGTATCCGTGCCGATAACTGACCATCTTGATCTTCTTGGTATAACGCTGACATCTACTCTCAATTTTGGGCCATACATCGAAGCAAAAGCTCAACTGGCTGCAAAAAAGTTGGGAATCCTCGCAAGGGTTAGACAATACTTTACGCCGGAACAGCTGCTTAAACTTTATCAGGCGCAAGTTCGATCGGTTATGGAGTACTGCTCTCATCTTTGGGACGGATCTGCCCGATACCAACTTGATGCGCTTGAGTCTATTGAGAGGCGAGCCAAGAGGATCATTGGCGATGATGCACTTGTCGAGTCGAGACTTCAAAGTCTTGAGCATCGACGCCGAGTTGCTAGCCTGTCGGTTTTCTACCGGTTGCATTTCGGGGAGTGTGCGTTGGAATTACATAATTTAATTCCGCCTAGCCCGTTCCATCATCGGACCACCAGACGTACGGCATTGCGCCACCGGTACATGGTGGATGTCCCACATATACGTACAAAACGTTTTGGGAGCACATTCATCATGCGTACAGCCAAGGAGTGGAATTCCTTGCCGGAGTCGGTGTTTCCTGATAGTTACAATCTGGGTATCTTTAAGTCAAGAGTGAATAGGTTACTTCTAGGTAAGCGCGCTTCATCGTCGACCGCATCGTCGCTTTCCATCAGGTGAGATAGCGGTCAAGCGCGAACCTATAATCAATAAAAAAAAAAAAAAAAAAAAAATAAAAAACTTCGCACAACATTGTACAAGCGATTCGGAGTTCAATTTATTCTGAAAGTAAGGTAGCTATTCTGTTGTTATGCGATAAAATTATGGCTATTATTTTCTTAAAGTGTGAATTAAAACGTCGTGGTGGTGGCCCGGAGGTTAAAGCGCTCGCTTCTCATGCATGAGGATGCGGGTTCGAAACCTGGCAAGTAGGTACCAATGTGACTTTTTCCATGTTATATGTACTTTCTATGATTATTTAGACACCACTGACATACGGTGAAGGTAAACATCGTGAGGAAACCTGGAAGTTTTAAATCGCCAACCCGCATTGAGCAAGCGTGGTGATTAATGCTCAAACCTTCTCCGTGTGGAAAGAGGCCTTTACTCAGCAGTGGGCACTTATAGGCTGAAAATGTGTATAAAAATGTAGTTGTTCAATCCGTATAAAAGTGTAGTAGAAACATATTTCGATACGAATTCCCCGGCTCGGAGTGATACCACGGCCTCACAGAAAACCAGCGTGAAGCAATACTTACGTTGTATTTCGCCGTGTGAGTGAAGTTACCGGCTGACCAAATTTTGACTTTACTATTACGAGTCACTGGCCGATTGCTTACCATCAGGCAATCTGTCAGCTCGTTCTTCTACGTATTGCACAATACTATCAAGGCTTTTTTTCCATTCTCTTTAGTAAGTGACCCCCAGTGACACTTCATGTTTGGGAAGACGATGCACAGTGGTCAGGTGTCACAGAGTACGGCTAGGTTCAAAGGAGACGAAGGTCTATAGGGACGTGCCAAATCATAAAGGCTTCGGAGATGTCCCGAAAAAGCTTTAGAATAGGCGGCTTTTCTTAAGCCGCCATTTCTAAAGCCTACCTGCCGTAGCAAAACAAGGTTTTAGCGCTATTTGTCAATCCGTCACCTTAGATTAAGACTTCATTAGATTTTTTTAATGAAAGAAAAACAAAATTACTCGACGTACTAGTAACAAAAACATTAATATACTAAAGCATTAGACCCCAGTATATCCGGGACACCAGAATAGTGAACCCGTTGAACAATACAGACAAGTCCCGAACAGGTATGGCTAAACTTATATAAATTAAGTTGCCAACTCGAATTGACTCGACTATCACTACCCCGGGGTAAAGGTTGTGTGACACTTGGCTCCACAGATTAAGTAACTGTTTTGACTGTACAGATAAAAAAATGTGATATTTTTAGGCAGATTGTTCGAGGTCAGGTCAGGTTTGCAAACACGTGGATGTTATTTTTTTATTGTCTGTGTATATCTGAGAATTT